ACTATATACAATATTTGCACCCCCCCCCCCCCACACACACACACACACACACAATAATAATAATATTCTAACTCTTACTGTATCAAAGTGACAAAGGAAAAGTTGTTTACAGTTGTTTACTGTCTAATACACAGTTGTTTACTGTCTAATACTCCATACAGTATGTTACTATCTGTGTCTTCTACTGTAGGACTCTCAGTATTTAGATGTCAGTCCATTTTTTTCAGGATCAGCTGATGGTGACTAAAGAGCTGCTACAGAGACGTCACAGTAACAATCAAGAGAAAATGAAAGCACAGTCATCTCTTTGTGGGACTGTTCTTTTGGTTTACATCATCAGATTTCCACAATCTAATACACTTGCTGAAATAACAGTGAATGAGCTGTAATTATTTTACTATGTGTTTTAGACTTTTAAAACGTTTAGGAGAAAGTAAAAATTTAAGAGAAGGTGAAAGAAATTTTGAGTTTCACCTTAGAGAAATGAAAGAGCTGGTTACATTCGAGATAAGAATTTATTGTTGGTATCACCAGCAGAGGGCAACAAAGATAATGCAAATTATTTCACCAAACATTTATGTCTGTAAAACATTTTAGTTTTTATTTACAGTGCATAAAAAGATTGCCCCATATTCATTCATGTACTGGTTTATTACCTTTCTCCCCTAACAGTTATCTATTCCTAAAAATAAAATTTTGCCTTTGCTTTTTTTAATAATGATTTTATTAGCATATGTGTTTAGCCCCTCAGTTTTTTGACATTTATGGGAACATAGAAATATAGAAATTAACTAGCATGGTTGTAAAAGTGTAATGTCCCTTAGCCATGGATAGACACAATCCATTCAGTGAGTACTTTGTAAACTGTTAACTCAAAATGAACTGTGATGTAACTGATAGTTTTGAACACTGATATAACCGATTTTAAATACAATTTTTCAATGACCAATTACGTGAGCTGTTATCCACATTCATTTTTATACACTACCAGTCAAAACTTTTTGAACAGTAAGACAGTAACATTTGTAAAATATATTAAAATAGAAAGCAGTTATTTTAAATAGTAAAAATATTTCACAATTTTACTGCTTTTGCTGTACAAATAAATGCAGGCTTTTATTATTTAAGATCTATACTCTTACTGTAAAATTTCACCTTTGAGCCTGTTTTATTTCTCCTAAGGACTTTGAGGAGACACCAATTTTTTAACAAATGACGTGTTGAAGCTGCTCCTAAGCTCACTAAATAGTATCTATATATATAGAGCAGAAGACAATCAAGAGCAAATACCAAAGTACTATTTTAATTTTGGATGATGTTTAACACGCACAGCTTATATAATTATAATATATTAGTTACAACTAATATATTATAATTCAATAAACAACAAATGTTTGGTAATGGCATTGCTTGGCAAGTAGTTGCCTATTTCTGGTAGCAGTACTGCCCCCTACTGGACACAAGACCAAAAAAATGCAGATTCTAATACTATGGATGCACTGGCACAAAAACTACATAAATACATACATACATACATTCAATCATTCAATTATAATAAATAAATTAACATCAACTACTGATGACAACACAGTCCAGCTGCCATTACAGGCCATGCCCCTCACAAATCAGCACTTACTGTTACAGTAGAATGAGTAATGGCCTGGTTATACAGTAGTTGATCCATCTGCAAGAGTGTGAAGGTGGTTGAATAAGAGTGAAATTGGCGTTCACATATGACGCATTTTATTTATTTAATTAAAAATGTTTTTAAAGCTGTTTTTAATGTCTAGGAATTATCCAATTGATAGATAGATGTTGTTTTTTTGTTGTTTTTTTGTAAAATTTACTTGTGAATGCTCTGTGAATTAGTCTTTCACGTTTGACTACTTGCAGTCTTAAGAATTACACACACTCAAAAAACTAAATTAATAAATAAACAAAAAAAGGTACAAAAGCTGTAACTGAGGTGGTGCCCTCTAAAAAGGTAAACTTTGTACCTTATCTATCAGGAAAAAAAAGTTCAGATCATCTGGATTATAATACAGATAATTTCTATTTTTCATGTAGAAATACAGTAAAATACTTCCATTATAACACATATTTATAGCACAATTTTTTATTTAAAAAATCTCACACGTACAAAGAATTGCTCCACATTGATTAAAAAATGGTCCAATGTTCAATCAACAGAGATCAATAAAAGTACAGTACACACTTATAGTATTATTATAAAAATTCATCCTGGAGCAACATGAAACTTAACATCATAACAACAGAACAGGTTTGGAAGTTCCATATTCAGTGTTTCGATAATCTTCTGAGACTCAAATTGTGACAAATGTAAACCTCCATATTTCTAAACAGTAGGCTACATCTATCTAGTCTAAACTATTATTATTATTATTATTATTATTAATAATAATAATAATAATGCAAAAAATCAGTTTTACTCTACTGTTTTCCATTAAGTGTTTTGAAAGTGTTAAATATCTAAAGTTATTTTTATATAAAGTGTGTAAAACATACTGTATGAACACTGACTTTTTTTTTAAGTGAACCCATAAAGACAGTTAATTATTAATGGTGGATAATTACTATATAATTATTATATATACTATATAAGAGATCTGTTAAAGAGTGCAGAAGGCAGTCAAATGAAATAATGTGATGTTTGGAATGTTTTGTTTTCTGATGAAGGGACCAGTGATTCAATTTAGATCATCCATCTTGTAATTCAGATTTTGCTTATTTATCCAGCTGAAAAGAAAAGCAAAAAAAAAAACAAGAAAATTATAGTCAACTCTACTAATAAAACAAAAAACAGATGTATTTTATATTTGGCAGTCCTGCATGCAAAGATTGTGTATCATTTCATATATAATTTCCATACTTTTTATTATTATCAATAATTGTTGTGAGTGTATTGATGACTTTTATTATTTATTTATAATTTATTATTCTTATTTTGTTAAAAAATATATATATCTCCTCACCTTCCATGTGGAGTGATGTCGGTATGATATAGAAAGGGTCTCCAGTGTCTCGATCATACAAGTGTTGGAGCAGCACATTTTTAACCATCTTTAGACTCAAAGTGTAGCGTATCAACTCCTCATGTTTTAAAGGCATCATGAACTGTAGCTTAAACTGGCCTGTAGTGTCCCTGTATGGAAACACAGCATTAAAATGTTATTTCAGTCAACTTTAACTTGATATAAATGAGATGTGTTTGTCTGGGTCGCAGCAAAAATGTGTGGACAAGGCTTAAAGGCACACTACGGTATGCACAAGCAAATAAACTGAAAAGAAGGCGTAAAATGTGACAGTGGAGTGTGAAATTGACTCACTGGAGATTGTTTATGGTGACATTGGAGAAGTACCGCTCCAATGCAGGAGAAGAACTGTAGACTCCTGTCAGCTGAGGGTTCATCATGGTGTATGGGAGAGACAGACATAGATTGACTGATTCATCCTACATGTACCTAGCAAAAAAAACAGTGTTTTTCCATTCTACTCCTGGATGTCTAGCTTATCTAACACACCTACTTACATCAGTCTACTTCTGAGCTCTGTTAAATCAGATGTGTAGATAAACAAAACATCTCAAATATGCAGTGCCCCCCAGGAACAGCACTGAGAGAGAGAGAGAGAGAGAGAGAGAGAGAGAGAGAGAAAGACTACCACTGTGAAAGCAGAAGTGCAAGTTGTGGCGCATCCCACTCAGGCTGGTTAGTTCACCCACAAAATGAACATTTTGTCATTATTTACTCACCCTCACCAAGAAGTACCAAACCTCTCTGACTTACTTTCTTCTGTGAATCACAAATGGTGTTTTGTTTTGTTTGTGTTTTTACAGAAACTCTTGATTTGTGCAATAGCTCTAAACAGTGATGATGTCCAATGAAAGCATTGTTCTTTTGAGTCAGATTCTTTGCCACGGAATAAAGAAAGTCATACAGGTTTGGAATGACATGAGGGTGAATAAATGACACCATGAGTGAATTTTTGGGTGAACTATTCCTTTAAGACAGATGTCCTTAATCACAATGATTCAAGGTTTTCTGGGGGTTTTGAAAGTTAGTTATTAGTTGTAATAGTCTATTGTAACTGCTGTTTTTCAAAAGATACAGTTCATACAAATACACATCAGGTACACTGTTAATATAATGTTCTGGGTTAGTACAAGTATGCTGTCTGTCTTTTGCTATTGCTAATAGACTCGTCCCTCTGTTTGAAAAAATGTATTCATGTCATTATGTTTACAGTACAGTAATGTATGCACTTTCAATAGAAGTCTAGGGGCAAGTCATTTCCTGTTTAAATGTGAACCATTTCAGAAGTACAGCCAAAACAAACCCTTTGTGTGAAAAACATGCTTAGCCCAGTCTGTGTAAAGTTACCATTAAAGTGATCAAGACAGTACAATGTTTAGGGCAATAGGGCCTTATTGTTTTTCTAAGGACTGCTAATAATTAATAAAAAAATGTTTTAACTCGGTCAACATGATCTGGTTTGGCTGTGGCGAGGCAACAAATTTATGGTGAAAAAGGTGTTCGTTGAAGGAGGCAAAGTTATAGCGCCACCAACTGGCAGCAGGAAGTGTGTCGTTTTCAAAAAGCTTTAAAGGGGACCTATTCTGCAAAAATCACTTTTATAAGGTGTTTTATAAGGTGTCACCCACTCATTTTTTTATAATCCGAATAAATTATAAACAGTCTCTCCAAACAAGCGGATTCAGATTCTCCCCAAGTACACGTCATCTTAGGGAAAAAGTTCCACCCATTTGTGACGCTCTCTGCCCTATTAGCATAAACACAGACCTGAGTGGGAAGCAGCAGTCTGCCATTACTGTTTTCTTGCTGTAGCTGATGGAGATATACAATTTCAGCGCTAAAGAGGCATTACAAGTGTTGTGTTTTGGGATGCACCAATTAACATACAGGTGGAGTCTCCATAGACTCCCTCTATCTGAGCTGCTGAGGACACTGTGGTTCAATTTCATTTTCGAAGGAAATATCCTGGAAAAAAATCGGTAAAATCCCCTATATGTTTAGGAATCAATACCAACACTTCATGCGCGAACGTCAGCTCCAGACAGAGTAAGTATCACACGTCATATTTTGTTTTCGAAATTGCCTTTCTGGAATAGGTTCTTGGCACTCTATAAGGCTAATGTTGCTAAAGCTACCATTATCTCTGCCCGTTTTCACTGATTCTGCCTTCACATGCTACCAGAATGATCGTAAATAGGAATGTGGTACTGTAGTTAAATATTGCATATGAAAGCAATGTGAAGTCGACCACTTGAATTTGCCGAGCTCATAATCACAAGTGGGACTTATATTTTACAAAGGCACCATAAGACCAGCTATGTCGTTATTTGTATCGCGCCGTGCTCCCCGTCTGTGTAATTCATAAATGCTAATTTATTATGCACAGTAATCAGATGACTGACTTTTAAAATTAGTGTTTTCTGTAAAGATAACAGGCTTGTACTAATAGTGGAATGTTTATTTGTATGACAGAGCATGAGAAATTGAAGCTCCACCCTCTTCAGAAAAGGGGGCCGGGAGCACCAGCTCATTTGCATTTTAAGGGACAAACACAAAAACGTTGCGTTTTGGCTCATACCCTAAAAGTGGCAATTTTAACAAGCTATAAAAAATAATCTGTGGGGTATTTTGAGCTAAAACCTCACGCACACACTCTGGGGACATCAGAGACTTATTTTACATATTGTAAAAAGGGGCATAAAAGGTCCCCTTTAAAATCAGCCTTTTATTTTTACCCGATTTGCTTCAAACTTCATCAGAGTAATGTCAAAACATGGCTGATGTAAAACTGCGAAGAGATTCTTGATTTCTTGAATACTGTTGCCATGGCAACACTTCAAACTGTAAATTGTTTCTTCTATATACTCCTTGAATTGCTGTCACTGTGATTTACACCAAACTTTCTCTACATGATGCCAAAATACTGACTAACCCTAACTGCGAACCTTTTTTGGATATCTCAAACAATGTTGCCATGAAAATTTATTAAAGTAACAGCAAGTTCTTCGTGTTCAAACACGTCAAAACATTTTTTACATATGGAGACCAAATCATTCTGAGGATACATGCATAGTTTCATGAATTTCTGCAAATTAAAAACTATCAGACATTTCAGCTGACAGACGAAGGCTGTAATACTAAGGTTGTCTACTAGATGGATGAGAAATAAAAAAGAAGGATAAGGATAAGATATTTTTAAGCCTGCTCCGATTCAATTAGTTTTCATGACAAATAAATGCACAAAATCAGTCAGTATAGTTTTAAATAATTATTTCACAACTGTTTGTAGACCATTAAATGTTAATTAAAATGTTAAATGCAAATTTAAGTTTTATATATCTGATTAATTTTGAAAACATATTTGTCAAATTGCCAGACATAATAAAATATGTTGCTGTGCATTAAAAATTATGAGACAATTTTATGCGTGTCTTTTAGGTTATTTAGTAAATGTTGACAGTTGTGCTACTGAATGGAAAGGAATAAATAATATTTAATATACCAAATGTAATACCTTTGATTAGCCAATGGTTTAGATTTCCTGTTTAAAATGTTAAAAGCTTTATCAGAGCTGCATCTTTCTTGCTATGAACTGATTTCATCCTCTTAGTTTAGTCTGGGCTTAACTTAATAGTAACAGTCGCAAATGTAATCTTTGATCCCTCCCTGTGTGTGTGTTTGTTTCACACTCGAGCAAGGGTAGACAAGTTCAGTCCTAGAGAGCCGCTGTCCTGCAGAGTTTTGCTCCAACTCTGAAAAACAAAAAAAACTCACCTGCCTATAGCCTTAGTAATCCTGAAGACATTGATTAGCTTGTGCTCAGGTTGAAGCTAAATTCATCAGGACAGTGGCTCTCTAGGACCGAAAACGGCGGTGCCACTCTGGACCCATCATCCCTGCTTGCAGCTATATATATGTATATATATATATACTGTATAGTGGTGGGCAAAATTATTAGAACACTGGTATTTTCACCAGCTAAAAATGGTTTTAAGTCAGTTATTTCTATCTTTTGCTGTAGCGACCTACCTGCAAAGCTGCCTGAAAAACTATGCGCAAATGCACCTAGGGCAAAAGCTGCTTTAAACGCAAAGGATGGTCACACCAAATGTTGATTTAATTTAGTTAATATTAATTTGCTAAAGAAAATATATTTGATCATTTTTGACAGCATCCTCATTTTACAGCATTTTTACACAAGTGCCTAAAACTTTTAATAGTGCTGTGGCTTTGCAGGTAGGTCTCTTGAGGCATCTTGGAGACATTGTCACAGTTCATCTGGATTTAGTCTGTCTCAGTTTGTTCTGTTTCTTCAAGTCATTCCAGACAGACTGGATGATGTTGAGATCAGATCTCTGTGTCAGACTTCTTGTGCAAACAAAAATCTAACTGGATTATTACAATTAAAGGCTAAATGAATGTTTGTTAATGTAAACTGATATTTCCTACTGACACACTACAGAAAAAGATAAAAATATTTGATTTAAAACAATTTTTTAGCCAGTGAAAATACTAGTGTTCTAATAATTTTGGCCACCATTGTGACACACACACATTATATATATATATATATATATATATAAATTAATTAATAATTGCATTAAATTGAGCAAACATGACATCAAAAATAACATTTACATAATCAAAAAAATATGTATATTTAAAAGAAATGCTTCCCTTTTGAATTCTACTCAAAGAATTCTGGAGGGGAAAAATTATCATAATTTCCACAAAAATATTAAGCAGCTGTTTTTACTGTTTTAAACATCGATAATAACAAAAAATGTTTCTTGAGCAGCAAATCAGGAGAAATGGCTGCTGAAAATTCAGCTTTCATCACAGCATTAAATTGTCCATGGAGTCTAGCTTGTACTAAATATGGAACATTCATTTAGTTTCAGATTCAGGATTAGTCAGGGAAATCATGTGAAAAAACAAAAAACATGGTGATTATTTATTCTTTAAATCCATGTTTATTTAAAAATAAATTCATGTCTCTGATTTCTTCAAACTTCGGAGTATGATATGTGTGTAGTTATGTAAAGCGTATCAATGGGTTTCTCAAACCTACTACACAGGTATCTATAATAACGGTCAGATCATTCTTGTTTTTACCTGCTGTTTCAGCTCTATCATAGTCTCTTCGTCCTGAGTGTCTGAATTTAAACTTTTAGCATCCAGCGTGAAATTCCCTCTGAAGAAGCGCGGCACCACAAATGATGATTTGTCATATTTTTCATCCTCATCGTCATGACCAACTTTAAAACACAGAGGGTTGCAAAACAACAATAAAATACAATCAGAATCTTACAAAGGTATTACGTAAGAAAGACGTAATTGTGTATTTAATGTGTAAAATAAAAATGTGTGTTTTGTGATAAACTTGACAGAAGGTGAAAGCTGAGCCTTTGTTTCCTATTAATAGTGCATAAAAACAGCAGAATATATAACAAATTGCAATAGTAACATTATCAATAGCATTCACATTAGACAAAGAATCTGAATGGAGCATTGGTACCTGCGCACACAATGATTGAGATCCCAATAACCAGAGCAATGGCAATAAAGATGATAAGTATCAATGTCCATAGTTTGAGTTTCCACACCACCACCTCATTCAGTTCTCTCTTGACTCTCCGCAGCTCCCTCTGCCACTGCAAACAAACAGAGGAACAAGGTTTTCTTACTGTACTTTAGTGATATTCAAAGCCAAGTCTGGATACAGAGAGCTGTTACTATTACAGTAAACATCTTTGTTTTTCAGATTTACCTTGGGTTGACTTAGAGAGTCAGTATCGACGCCTCCATCCACATGGAGGTGCTGTTCCCTATTGTCCTCAGCAACCTGAAAACACACAAATCCAGACTGACAGGTCAAACTAAACTAAAGGATCAGTTTGCTGCTTAAAATTCTGCACACAGTACAAGATGTCAGGGCACACATATAAAGTGGAGCTTACTTGAATAACAATGAGTGAAAACAATGTATCACATGTAGGTTATTTAAACAATTTCTGTATTTCTCAACCAGGTTTGCATATCTATTATTTGAGTCATTGCATATCAGGTTTCAGAGCAAGACAAAATGGAAGGAGCAGCTTATGTAGTTGAATGTATGTCAAAAATGGTTTTGTTTTGGCTCAAAACCATCATAGTTTTATTTAATCAGTTAATTTCTTCAGCCAATCAAAAGTTAGGAGTAAGGCATATACCTGTGTTGTTGATAGCAAAGGGGACTCTTCATTTCTCTCTGAACTGACGTGGCCTGAGCAAGCACCATTCCCTGGAATCACCTTTGAACATTTGTGAGAATTTATACAATATACACATACATTAAGAGAAAAACATTGCTCTGTACAGTTGCAGTATGGAAAGTATATTTTTAGACAACAGTCACTAACAAAAGAGTAAAAACATTAAAATGGTACAGGACAGGGGCAATGGAGAGGGCCCATAATAAAGAAAAGAAAAGATTCACATCTTTGAGATGTGCCAAGTGTGTTTTAAAAAGTGCTAAAAAAAAAGTAGTATTTAGTCATACTTTTTGTTTTGAAAAACATGGTGTAACCGATATGTAAAAAGTCACATTTTCAATTTTACAAATTTTCACCTTTAATATACATACAAGTATATGAAACATATATACATATACATACAGTTGTGCTCATAAGTTTACATACCCCTTGCAGAATGTGCAAAATGTTAATTGAAACAAAATAAGAGGGATTATGAAAATTTGTATTTAGTACTCTCCTGAATCAGCTATTTCACATAAAAGATGTTTACATATACTCCACAAGACAAAATAACAACTGAATTTATCAAAAATTACCCCATTCAAAAGTTTACATACCCTTGAATCTTAATACTATGTGTCATTTCCTGGATGACCCACAACTGTTTTTATATTTTGTGATAGTTGTTAACGAGTCCCTTGTATGTCCTGAGTAGTTCAACTGCCTGCTGTTCTTCAGAAAACTTCTCCAGCTCCTGCACATTCTTTCGTTTCCCAGCACCTTCTGCATATTTGAACCCATTGTATGATTTTGAAATCCATCTTTTAACACTGAGGACAATTGAGGGACTCATGCATAACTATTACAAAAGGTGAAAACATGTAGACTACTGATGCTCAAAACGGCAACACAATGCATTAAGGCCGGCCCGGCCACCTCGGTCACTGTGCCCCCTCACCTCTGGTGCCGTCTCCGTAGTGGGCGCCCTGATTTTAGTCGGTGAGGCAAGGTACTGCCCTGGGAAGGTTTCCCAGGCTGTTAAATACACAGATTAAAAGCGAAATGTTTTCATTTCGGTTCGTTCTTAGCAAAAAAATCATAATTTTTTCGTTCAGGTTATGCAGAGCGAAAAAAGAACGGTACTGCATTTAGAAAGAATTCTTATTAACTTTGCTATTATTCTTGAATTTTCAAACTAGTAACACTTTGCACTTTCGAATTATGCCTTTACTGTATTTTTGGTCAGACTATTTTATGTTTCAGCTGTTTGATCGCGCCGGCGCCTCCCGCACACTAAGCTACTGCATTCATTGGAAACAGCGCAGCCGTTCACCGTGCCGTTCGGCGTGAGACCCGCTCCACTGTGGCATATTTTTGCTCATTACGATATTTTTCCGTCGATACTGGAACGCGCGTGAACTACAAAGCCTATTTTACCTAATAAGGCTAATAGTTTAGCTTCAGCTACATCACGAATATGGACACATTTGGATTTGTGCCTGAGAGAGGTAAGCCCAACTTTACCTTACGTTTCTTTATAAATTAATTTGTTTTGGCATGTTTATTGCTAAGCATATATTATTATATACTGCAATTATATTTATCCATTAGAATTATATATTTTTAAATTCGTATTCTGTTCTGATACGGTTAAGTTTAAAGGATTTGTTGTAAAGTGAGGGGAACTAAATTATCCTATAGTGTTTGTAATGTTGGTACATTACAACATTATTAGGCCTGCTGTTATTATTTCTGAAAATGCAACTTATACGAGACGTATCTTTTTTTTTATTTTCCTCAAAAAAAATAAATATGTTATTGTGCTTTTAAAAGCATGCAGCAAACGAAAATATGCGATTAATCTGTTAATTTGTTACTGTGGGTTAAC